TTCCCACTGATATAATTATAAATAAATAAATATTATTATTTTATTATTATTTTTTTAATATCAGAGATGGATAATTCTCTTTTGTAATGACTTGATTTAAAACTCTGGAATGCCTGCAAGTCATTGACTGCATCTGAGTTGCAAGGAATGTATTTGCGAAATCGTTATTGACAAAGTGATTGCTATTTTTATGATTTATATTATTGTTAATGTTACATAGTGCTTAATTCTTACTTCAAATATTTCTGTAAATAATGTACATAATTTATTACATTGCATAAAATTGCTATGGAATTAATGCTCTCTCACAAGAGATTTGCCCAGAAAAGGACCACAATTGCGCGCATACTTATGGCTTACTGGTCCAGTCCGAGTGTGCTACTGACCAGTTAAAAGCAAACATGTGTTAATACTTTCCCTTAAAAGCCTTCTTTGTAAGAAAGTCATACAATGTCCATCATAATATTTATTATATTACACTAGATCATAGTTGATGATTGCAAGTCCCAATCCTTCTTTTGGCTTTCCATCATAATCTCCATTTACAAATTTCTCATAGACAGGCCAGCTGCGATGATAAATAACTGCCACACTTTCGGTTCTGAACATCTCTTTGCTGGAGATAATGAAGGCTAGTTCTTTCAGGAGGTAGTAAACTCCTTCTTGCACACTTTCGTTATCTTCAAGCTCAGAATCTGAGGATTCTAAAGTTTAAAAGTAGGACTTGGTCAGTCTTCATTGAAGAGTATACTGTGGGGGGGGGGGGGGGGGGGGTTGGACCTTCCTATAATGGCCTATAGGGGGAGGCTCCGCCCAAAAGAGGTACCTTTTTCCGGCTTCAGATATATCATTGCTATATAAAAGGGTATGGAATTTGGAAGTTGAAGTATATAAAAGGATAGGGAAATCTGTCATTTCAGTTTGTAAAAAGCTCCAAAAGGGCTAACAGTCACGTTTTATGGCTGTAAAAAAAGTCGAGAAAACATTCTAGATTTGTAATTTACAGTCCAACTTCCACTAACGGCCACCTCTTCACACTTTCCATCTGTCTACAACGACCAGGCCTTTGAGGGGAGGTTCAACTGTATTTATATAGTAAATACAGTTCATTTACGGCAGTTAAAAGGGATGCAAAGGTGTAAACTAGGTATGTGAAAGGGGTAGCATTTGTCAATAAAAAGGTATACAAAAGGGGCACCTTTTTTGTCAGAAATAGTATATACAAGGGTAAGGGTTTGGAGCCTCCCCGTATAAAACGTTGTTGCGTACCCCACCGGGAGAGTATTTAAAGCGTTATGCAACGAAAGGCAAATCTTGGTACATGTACTGAGTTTATCTCCACCTCTCCCCTGCCCCGTTTTTTGGGGTCACGCATAGAAATCGAGTAAACTGCCAGTCAACCGAACGATAGCAAGGAATGACAAGATTTTATGGCTGGAGAAAAACGGAAGAAAACAGATGCACAAAAACAAAAATGCTTAAATCACGGAGATCTACTCATGTGGCGGGAAGTCCACCACTTTTCATGCTCTTAACATAGTCTGTACACCGGTTGGCTCAACTTTTTTGTTTCTTTAGTCCTGAATCCTGGGAAATTGTGCGTCGAAGCCTCGACAACCATTCGCAAGGGGTTTTAAACCGTAGATTTGGTGTAAACAGAAACGGATCCGTGTTTCAAAGTCCATTGACCGAGAAGTGATAAGACAACTCAAGAAATGGAAACCGAAAAAGTTTAGATAATTCCACTTTTAAAACATCGATATTCCGCTTCTCTTGCTTACCTGATTCACTCTCAGATGATGTAGAATCTTTTCCTAACACTTTTGCGGTCGATCGTGCGACGTCCTGGCGAAAGTAAGAGTTACTTTTGTAAAAACTGATGATATAGTCTAAGGCTGCAATGTAAGCTTCATGTTTGTCTACCTCCGAAGTCCAGTCCAACATATAAAACTCTCCAGCAATATCATCAGTCTTGGACACCTGTTCAGCGGTAGAAAATAATGATTTAATCCATACTGAATGATGAAAAGCCGTAAAATTATTATTTCTCTAACCGTGGGTACAGCGTGTTTTTTTTTAACTTACGTGCGGCGGAGATGCTTCATGCCGGCCGCAGGTCGACACGTTAATCTTTGAATCGTGAAAAAAGTTGCAATATTAGTTTAGCTCCTCCCCCTCTAGACTACGAGTAGTCCCTCATTTTTCCTCAGGGATAGTAGAGCGCGCGAAACGCGAGCGCGCGTGAAAATCACCCCACGCGAGAAAAGGCGACTTGCGGTGGGGAGAGAGTCTCGCGGCTTCGCCGCTCCCGCGCGCGTGCATTGCTCTCACTAAATCTGAAGAAAAAGAGAGACTACTCGCAGTCTAGAAAAATGAGTGCGTGTCGCCTTTTCTCGCGTTTAGTGATTTTAACGCGCGCTCGCGTTTCGCTCGCTCTACTATCCCGAGGGAAAATGGGGGACTACTGGTAGTCTACTCCCCCTCCACACCCCTTATCTAACTTAGGGAGAGATCAGTTTTGTAAATGATAAAACTATTTTATACCACTTCAGACAGGGGGCTACCCTGGGTGCCAGAGACTTTTCTAGCGCGGTTTCCGGTTTCTTAGGGGGCGGAATCTTCAGTTTCTAATTTGTTTTAAATCCAAGTTTTCTTGCGTTTAATTTATTACGGGCTGGTTAGAAACCTTATAATGTTTCCTTTACTTTTATAATCGTTATTGATTAAATCATTTTTTTACTGACTGAAAGTCAATAAAAGTTTTATTTCTGGCCAATTTTAAAATATCATTTTCGACATGTACGTAAAACACACAAGATTAACCAAAGTTGCGAAATTAGCCTCACTAGTTATTACGGTTTTTAACTGAGAGAAAGCAGGTCAGTGACGTCACTCACGCATGCGCACAATTGGGGAGTGTCGAAATAGTGCATTTCCGGTTGTTACTAATAAACGTGTTTCGCGAAAGACACCCACAGCTCACAGTGAGGACACATGTGAGGAGGTCGGATGAAAAAAATTATATAAAATTTCAGCTTGTATCCAGCTTATGAAAGAGAGCGAGTGCGCGTCAGTTTTATAGAATACAAACATAATAAATAAAAAAATGTTGCGGTGGATATTTAAACGTACTTTTTGAAGCTTTCTTAAAGTATCAAGAATTAATCAGTGACAGTATTATATTTTTTTTCTGTACATACCTTATCAATAGCTCTTCTGCAATGCGACTTGAGCTGACTGGAGTTTTTCTTGGCTCGTTTCACAGCATCTTTACTCCCCAGAGCTCTGTACGTATGTTCAGCTGGCTGCTGTGGTACAACCACAATTATTCTTCTTTTGTCCTTTCCCAAGTATTGCACATAGTCCTCAATAACGTGGGATTTAAAGTATGGATTTCCAGGGCTCATTCCAAACAATACTACACCGTTGCCCGCCATCACATCTTGACCTGTTTCAAAAACGAGGCTTTCTCCAAGCTGGACGAGGTTAAGCACCATTTTACCTTGAGGGGCTATTTCTTTGGGAGAAAGAAATGAAGCAAGTTGATTTCGAGCTCTCGGTCAGCTTAACATGCTGCACAAGGAAAACGGTGTGGCTTTTTATATGCGTCCATCACAATTAACAATTAGCCAATCATGGTTTTATTCGCTGGAACGATCGCTGAGTCGAATTCCCCGGGAATAAAATGGCTGATGACGTGCTCTAAATTTAGCGTCGAAGTTACCGGGCTTATTTCCGAGAAATACCGGTAGTAACGTTGGAAGTTGAAAGTGCGCGAATATCGTAATTTACAAAGAAAATGAAGGTGTGTTCCCTTGATTCCCTTTTGGGGGTAAAATGGGCTAAAATGAAATGTAAAGATCTTTGCCTTTTTGGCTTAAAAATTTGATATCATGAGGGAGCGGTTTCCACCCGAAAGGGATAACTTTTGTCAGGCTAAAGATGGTATTAAAAAAGGGAAGGGATTTCACTAGTTGAAGTGTATGACAGGCAGGGACTGGTGTGTCATTTAGGTATTAAGAAAGGCCTTTAGTTGCAATATTTCAAGCAGACGCGCCTTGCAAGTTGTTTTGCCGCAATATCGTTCATTAACTTCATCCAAGAGTTTATTAAAGGGATGCAGTGTGTTTAAGTAATTATAAAGTTTAGAGGTCAATACTGTCTCCTTAAAATGCTTTATAAAAGGGCAAGGGCTATAGGTGGAGCTCGGGGCCGATCCACCCCGTATAAAACTTTGTGGAGTACGCCTGTACTTGACATTTAGTTTAGTTAGGTATTTTAGCTCATTTCTTTGAATAATTACGTTTTTTTCCCGAATGAGAACAACAGTCTTCGTACTTCATATAAGCTCGTTTTACATGCTTGTCATTTGTTCCACATGGATGACTGTACAATTGTCCTTTTTGTAGCTTTTTCTCCGAATTCACACTTGCGTACACTCATATGAGTTAACAGGGAAAATCGGAAATGTGATAAAATTAAAAATGATTTAAATTAGCTTTGTCGAAGTATAAAGTATACGTGAGGGAATATAACCTCTTCTGCCTGCGTGCAGACTTCTCCTATTTCCTTTGCGTGCAACAAAGGAAATAGGAGACGTCTGCACGCAGGCAATAAGCGTCACTAATGAAATTCGGTTTTATCGTAAGGGTCATGAGACTCTCGTACGTCAATTTATATCCATCAAGAATTCCCCTTTGAACGGAACTTGATTCGTTACAGACGGTTACATCGTGTTACATGCCTTTGGTTTAGTCACCATGTGACTTCTAGGAAGTCCTTGACCGGAACTAACAAACTGATAAACCTTTGTGTGACATAACGTAAGATTTCAGTGGCTTTCAGTTTGCGAAGAGTTCGTTTCATCGCTTTACAGTCGTGTTCAAATTTCAAGATGATATTCGGCCTTGCCATCACTGCCCTTGCTTTCGTAGTGATTTTGATATCGTGGATTTACAAAAGATTTTTCGAGGTAAGTTTTTTTTTTTCCTCAAAATCGGTTTTTCCGAAGAGCAAAGCCGACGGTGTCCGATTCTTCACACTCGCTTGATTGTAAATGAACTCTTGACCTACGCAAAATACAGGCTATTTTTCAGCGTAAGTTTTAATGTGTTATGCGTGAATCATGTTTACCAGTATCTTATATGTCTTTCTATTGAAATTTGTGGTCACTAACATTCTCAAAACGTATTGCTTTTCCTCCAGTAATCCGTTGTCAATGCACGTTGAAAAAAAAAACTGAACAACTTACGTTTTGGAATGTAGAGACAAAGGACAGCAACTTCTTGACATCAGCCTGTCGTTGTTTCATAGAGGACATAGGGAGGCTTCCTAGGACATCGGAAACAGCGAAAAGAGTTCAGTCGTCAACCTTCTGTTTTAGTCTGTTTCATTTTCTTTAATTCGGACCCTCTTCAAGTTTAATTTTTGCAGAAGGAAAAACTAAACCGTGAAAGAAATAATCACTGACTTTAATCTGTGATCGCTTATATTATAGATTTACTTCTGGCAAAATGATTCTGGGGAAATTATCGCAGGAACTGATTTCAGGACCTTTTCACCAACACTTATAGCATTCAAAGATGAAAGCTTGAAGAAATTTGGAATGTACTTGCTCCGATTTTTGCCCGGGCCTCCAAACCTGTAAGTATTATTAAAAAGTTCACATTATGTAAAGATCATATGTGTAATATTTTCGACTTGGATGTTTTTTTTTTTGTTTTTGTTTTTTAATTTCGACTTTTCATCAAATTTCCTAAATTCAATACTTGCACATTGAGATTTTTGTTTCGGCAGTGTCACGAAGCGTGACACTTTTTGTCTTTTCAGTAGTTTGGGGGGAAAAATTGTCCCTGGCCTTCACTCATTTACATGTCATCTAAGTAGACTCCACTATTGGCAGATTTTGTTTGACGAGTGGTTTGGCCAACATATTTAGCTGTACTTGCTAGTTTACTTCATTGGCAACATCGTTGCGTGATTGTATTAAAGCGTGTCCGGTATTTTCAGTTGTTTTGCCTCAAGTTCTATTCATGTACCTATATTCTGTTATTTATTTATTTATTTCTAGCATTACTGCTTCGTTAGATCCAAATATGTGTTAATTTTTCTCTTGACCACAGCATCATAACAGATCCACAAATCGCTGTGAAATTTATGGCAAAACAGCATAAGTATAAGCGTTTAAAAGACTTCAGATTGGGAAGTGTGTTTCGCCAGCTGTTTGGTCACGCAGCCGGGACGGCAAGTGGTGATGCCCATAAGCGGATACGGAGTGCATTTGATCCGTGTTACAGCACAGAGAGTGTGGCACAGGCAGTGGATATGATGGAACAGGAATGTAGACAGTATTTAAATCAGATGGTTCAAGATAAACAGGTATTAATTTAATGTTTCTGGTGCTTCATAACCCGCCGGGGGATTACTGCGTTTAATATATGCTGATGGGGTGTGCCATTGGATGGGGTTGTATTTACACCAATGGATTGACTACAATGAGGTTGCTTTTAGAGTTTCTAGAAGGTGGTAGCACATTTTCGGGATTTTGGTGGATGAGAACATCTCCTGGTAAATAGGGGTTTAGAAATGGAAAGATTCGCGCTTTAATAGTTGTTACCGCGACAAAAGAAAGTGACTTACTTGGGGTTCGATTATTCTAAAAAATTCCTTGAAAACTGCGTTTTCCTAAAAGTGACTAAGATGGAGTTTACAATTAGCCAGCGACACATATCGATCATGAATTGACCCAAGTATCCCCACCATTTAAAGAAAAGCAACTTACTTTGCTGTATTGCCAGCCTTGTATTTAGTTTTGTTTACTGAATTCCCACTTCAAGTTTTGTCTGGTATTAGCATCTCTACATTTGAGATCCGGCAAGAAAGAACCAGTCGGTTTTATTTACGCTCTGAGTGGACCTCTGCATTCAAGGGTATTTATTTTAACGTACTTTCGTCACCGGATTTCGGTTCGATGAAACCAACGTTTCCCAAATGCCATTACTCAAAAGTCACCCAATTTCCAGGGTTTGTTCCCGAATCTCACGCCTTTTTGCTCTAAAAAATCGAATCCTGACCTTCTAAAGGTTTCAATAATCTGGTTCCTTATTGAATACCATTTGGGGGTTGGGGGCAATGGACGGTCACGGAAAAAGCAGCAAACGGAGCTTCCGGCTTGTGTTATTGTTGTTTAAAGCTCTATTTAACAAATAAAGCTCAAGGGGAACCACGAGCCGCAGGCGAGTGGTTTCTATGGTTTATAAGAGTGTAGACCGTGGAAAATTTTGGTAGGTTTGTTTTTTACAATAACATTTTTTTTTTCGAAAAACCAAAAACAAAACAACCGGCCCTGCGTGAAATGTTACGTCATTTCCAGGTTCTATACTCTCATAAACCATAGCTCTCGACCAATCAACGCGCGAGGATTCGTTCAGTTATTGTAAAAAGAGTGTTTGTACTCATCTCTGCATGATATGCGTTGCGGGATTAGAGAGCATTAGAGAGATAAAGCATCACCCAACCTTAAAGGGCATACGCAAGAGGCGGAGATGGGAAAGATGACCACATGACCATCTTTCCCGCCTTGTTTGCCTTCGCCATTTGCAGTCATGTTACAACGTAACAGTAAGCGTTTTTTCACGAATAAAATACGGAAGCAAAGACTCTCTTTATTATGTCGACAGTGTAGGGAAAACTTAGGAAATAACGCACTGCCTCATACCCTTTTTTCAGATCAAAAATCCAATGGGATAACCACCAGATCAACACATGCTCCCTAGCACCTGTCAATTGTAATATGAATAAGTCAGCAACTGGTCAGTCTCCTTTTTTTTGCCATCATGCAACACTCCTCCCCTAAAAAAGAAGACTACCATCCCGGTGGGGGCGGGGGCACTCTACAACGTTTTATACAGGGAGGCTGCGCCCGAGGTTCCACCGGTCTTACCCGTTCATATACCATTTTTGGCACGACTACCACAAATTCAGCTTGTGATATCCGTGGCTTGTTTCGCCATTTCAGGGTTTCATAAGAATGGCTGATCTGATTCAACTGACGTTTAAAATACTAATGAAGTTCACATACGGAAGAGACATGACTGCAGACGAGCTTCAGGAGTTACTCGATCTCAGAGCTTTGGTGGAATCACTTATCGGAGATACTTTCTCAAACCCTTTTGTCAAGTTTCCGCTTTATAAATACATGCCTACAAGCACTAACAGCAAACTGGCGCAATTTGAAAAGCGGTGGCTGCAATTCAATAAGCGGTAAGAAGGGTTCATTTTACGTTAGTTAACGCAAACAAGATAGTTATGTCAGAAGCAAAGGAAGAGTGAGAAGTCTGCTTCTCCGTTTCCATTTTGATTTTGTAGTTCGTTTTTATACCCTTTTTATAGCACGGCCTTGACCATTTCAACCAATAGGAAGTGTTTTCGTTGTGAAAATTTTAATTTCTCTTTTCTACTTTCGTTTCTTGACTTAGCTTTGAGGAGCGTTTTGCCGAAGGAAAACTTCGAGACACAAGCTGTGTATTTTATAAGCTCCAGCAAACTCTTGGAAAAAATCCGGGGGCACTGTCAGAAGATGAGGTAATGTTGGGGGTTTAGACGAAAAGTTTTGTGTTGGCTGGTTGACCAAACTTATCTGTATATTAATATTATTTTGTAATTTCACGTTCGGGTAACGAAATGCAAGTGGAATCTGGGATAACTTTGTATGATGTAATATCTTTTTCAGTTAGTTCCTATTCGTTAGTAGTTCTCAAGAACTTTTTAAAATATGAAATACGTGTATGTGATGGTTTGGTATTTCTTTAAAACCCTCATACATATTTAACCAAAGCAGACCCTATGAGTACATACAGTTGATCCGTTTTGTGAAAAATTGTTCCACTGCGCTACCTACAGAATAAGTGCGTGTTTTTAGCATTCCATAACCAGGCTAGCAATGGGCTAACTTTTCACGATTTGTTCTTCCCTTGAGAGAGTCCCTTGATTCTAGGGTATAGTATGAGAATAGGTCACTGAGAATACTAAGTTTTAATTTTAGTTGAGTTTTTACCAAAAAATGTGAAACTCAACCTGACAACGCCCTTTTAAAAGCGAACTTTTTTGAAGTAGTTTGGCCTTTTAGGACTTAACTAGTTACCTAATAGACATGTTTCTTTTGAACTTTCTGAGTTGTAGACGTTTCACATCCAGCGATTCAACACAATTCCTTTAGGGCGTTAGTTACATGTAAAAAGCAGCACTTCTTGCCGTGATTCAAATTTTACTAAAAGACTGTTTTTTGTGTCTAGTTTCAAGAAACCCTGGAGGAAGCTTCCCTTGCTAATGTAGATATCACATGCGGAGCTGTGGCCTGGCTTCTATTCCATGTAGCACTCCATAAAGATGTACAGAAAAATCTTACAGCTGAAGTCAAGAATTCCATTTCAAGCGGAGTATGTAAATATTTTAGCGAATACTTTTTCTTTTGTTGAAGCTGAGTGCAGTAACAGAAATAGCGGAAAGTCTGAGGAGTTTGTTTATTGGCAATGTTTGTTTGTTTGTTTGTCTTCCCTTCGATAAAGCCAATACTTTATATTTGAAAGACCCGCAGAGCCTTACGATGTATTGAAAACAGAGTTCCGATTCCGCTTATCACTCCGTCGATTACGATTAATCGGGGAACGAGCTATCAGCATCTTTTTACACCCAAAAACCACAGCAACGTTAAATTAAAAACGGAAGGTGTTTTAAAAAAGTATCAGATATTTCGCGAATGCTTGCTCATTTTCTGACTGGCTTATAACACATGGAAAAGTTTTCTTTGTGATTTTATAGTTTCAATTTTTAAATAACAAGAATTTTTGCCCGTGAGCAGGCTTCCTCACGAATGATGAGGGAGGCTGTGAGCCTTTGACTGATGCCACGTGATAATAAAATTCAGGACTAGAATTTTTTTCCGAGATTGTCCAAATGTCTAAATGTCTTGTTGTGTTTGTTTTCTTATTCAAGTTTATTA